ATGAAATACATTGAGCTTCCCTTTAGTTTGTGATTTTTGGACTCTATCTTCTTCACACCAAAGAGAGGAGAGAGAAAGCTTTCACCCATTAAGAACTACCCCTAGAACCCTCCACTTCTATCCTAGAACCTTCCACTTCCAACCTAGAACCTTCCACTTCCAACCTAGAATCTTCCACTTTCAACCTAGGATTTGCCACTCCCAACCTAGAACCCTTCACTCCCACCTTCTGTAGCCCTTATTCCATACACCTAGGTCTACTTTCAATAGTCCCTAGTGCATAAGCCTTAACCCTACACGCTCATTTCCACACCAAGGCACTCAACCCACCTTGAAGGATACACCAAGAAGGCTAGGAGCCTAGCCCCCGGTACGGACCCAAGGTTCAAATTAGGTAACCAACATTACCCTCCCTTTCTCTCTCTCTCTCTCTCTCTGATCGAGGACTAAGTCCCCAAGTCCCCTCTCTCTCTCTTCTTCTCCTCTCTCTCTCCTCTCTTCTCTATCTCAATCTCGGACTGAGGGCTAAGCCCTCAGTCCCCTCTCTTTCTCTCTTTCTATCTTTCTCTCACTTCTCCCTCTCTCTCGATTTTCCCTCCCTCTCTCGGTTTCTCGCTCTCCCCGTCTCTTTCTCTCTCTCTCTCGTCTCGACTGGGCGCTAAGCCCCCAGTCCCCTCTTTCTCTCTCTTCGTCTTTCTCTCTCTCTTCTCCTTCTCTCTCTCTACTTCTTCTCTCTCCTCTCTCCTCTCTTCTCTCCTTCTCTCTCTCTCGATCTCGAACCGAGGCTAAGCCCACTCCCTCTCTTTCTTCTATTTTCTTTCTCCTTCTCTCGATTTCTCTCTTCCTCTCTCCTCTCTCTTCCTCTCTCTCTCTCTCTTTCTCTCGGTCTCGAATCGGGGGATAAGCCCCCAGTCCCCTCTCTTTCTCTCTCTCTTTCTCTCTCTCCTCCAGTCCCCTCTTTTTCTCTCATGTGCACTCTCCTCACCCACTCACTCGGATCAGTGGCTAAGCCACCGGTCCCCTCCCTCTTTCCTCTCTCTTTCTCTCTCTCTCCTTCTCACCCACTCACTCGGACCGGCAACCTAAGCCATCGGTCCCCTCCCTCTTTCACACTCTCTCTCCTCCATTCTCTCCCTTGCTCTATCGGTTATTTTCTTCTCTCTCTCAATTTTACTCTCTTTCCTTGTCGGCTTTTCTCTTCTCTCTCTCTCGATTTTACTCTCTTTCCTTGTCGGCTTTTCTCTTCTCTCTCTCTAGACTTCCTCTCACTCTCTCGGTCTTACTCTCTCTTCCTCTCACTCTCTCAATTTTACTCTCTTCCCCACTCTCTTTCTCGATTTCTCTCTCCCTCACTCTCGGTCTCTCTTTCTTGATTTCTCTCTCTCGATTTTCCTCCTCTCGCGGTTTCTCCCTCTCGTTTTCTCTCACTCTCTCCCTTGATCTCTCCCACTCTTTCTTACTCTCGGTTTCTCTCTCCCTCGATCTCTCTCGATCTTTCTCTCTCTTTCTCGATTTCTCTCACTCTCTCGATTTTCCTCCTCTCTCTTTCTCGATTTCTCTCTCCCTCTCGCTCTAGGTCTCTCTCGATCTTTCTCTCTTTCTCGATTTCTCCCACTCTCTCTCTCGATTTTCCTTGCTTTCTCAATTTCTCTCTCTCTCTCATTCTTGGTCTCTCTCTCTCTCTCGATTTCTCTCTCTATCTCGATTTTCCTCTTCTCTCTCAATTTCTCCCTCTCTCATTCTCTCTCACTCTCTCTCCCTCGATCTCTCCTATCTCTTTCTCTCATTTTCTCTCACTCTCTTTTGGTTTTCCTCTTCTCTCTCTCATTTTCCCTTATTCTCTCTCTCTCTTGGCTTTTCTCGTCCCTCTTTCTCCCTCGGTTTCCCTCACTCTCTCTCTTAGTTCCTCTCTCTCAAGTTCTCTTACTCTCTCTCGATTTAGTCTCTTATTCTTGGCTTCTCTCTCCCTCTCACTCTCGATCTCTCTCTCTCTCGATTTCTCTCTCCCTCTCCCTCTCACTCTCACTCTCAATCTCTCTCTCAATCGTTCTCTCTTTCTCGATTTCTCTGACTCTCTCTCTCGGTTTTCCTCTTCTCTCTCAGTTTCTCTCCCACTCTCTCTCTCGATTTCGGTCACTCTCTTTCTCTCCCAATCTCTCTCTCGAGATCTATCGATTTTCCTCCCCTCTCTCTCTCTCGATTTCTCACCCTCTCTCTCCCTCGTTTTCATCCTCTCTCTCTATTATCTTTGCTCCGTCTCCCCCTCGTAGTCTTTTCTCTTTCTCTCTCACTCCCCCTTTTACGTTCTCTTTTCAATCTCTCCCTCTCTTTCATGTTTTCTCCTCCTCATCTCATCTCTTCTTCTCTCATCTCTATCTCTCATCTTCTACTTCTCTCCCACCCCCATATCTCTCGTCCTCTTCCCTTTCATTATTACAGTACTCTCTCTCTCTGTCTCTCTCTCTCTCTCTCTCTCTCTCTCTCTCTCTTTACCCCTTCCATGAGATATTTTATTATTGTTATTATTATCAATAATATAATTATTATTTTTACCACTATGGGGCTATTTGTTAAGATGATGCCGAAAGGCTGTCAAACTAACAAGTGGTCCTTTATTCTTCACCATCTCCTTTATCTTTCCCCCCATTATACTCTCAATAAATCACTCATTTAACGACAAGTCAGGGTCTTCCAACCCACTTGTCTGTCCATCTTACACATGTGTGTTCATAAGGCGCAGAGTGCAGCAAGGGAGCCAGAGTCGAACCAGACTCAGGCTAGGGGGTTTTCAGTCGTGATCTAAGAGGGTCTCTGCAAGCCCGAGCGTGTCACAAACCCACCGTGAGGTACGTCCCACCTCACACCCCATAATTCTCTCTCACTAGTTGATACCTATCCGAACGCGCACCACACACAGCGGTTTCCGAGAGAGCGATCTCGGGTTGGACCCCACATCCGGGTCCCCATTCACGGTCCTTAACCCCGACGAGATCGAGGCCCAACCAATTGTATCTAATAAAAAGGAAATTATTGAAGACTACATTGACTCTCTCTTTCTCATTTTTATTTGAAAAGTGCTAACGTTTATATATATAAGAGAAAGTATATTACAAAAGATCTATAGGAAGAAGGCATCCCACAAGCAGGGTGCTCCAAGTATATATGCAGGGGTTGAGATTATAGACAGATTGAGAGAAAAACGAGATGAGGGGGAGATAAGCATAGAAAACCTATAAGGCTGGGGAAATTAAAGCTAAAAAGATGAATGTCTTTGTCTTGGATTCTTGCCTTAATGAAACCTATGTTTCTAGCATCATTGAAATACATTGTGGAGCACAAATTCCTACTGATTTACAGAAGCCCCATTCATTATAAATCAGGTTCTATTCCTATCTTTTTAGGGAGAGTTTGATAGCCTACTTGGCTTCCCAAAATTTGGAGCACGGAGGACATTGGTCCCAGCACTTTGATGGCAGAAATCCTGAATGGGATGTGCCAGTCCCTTGAGGTAATCTTGGGCAACTTTTTCTTGTTGTTTTAAGGCTTTCCATGGTCCATTTTTTTTTCGTGACTTCAATAACATACAAGTTAACTGAATGCAAGACTGATATTGCATTCTAAGCAGTTGTACTGGAACTTGTGTAGGTTTTATGCACTAGAACTTGTGTAGGTTTTATGCACTAGTCATGTTATACTTGTGAAGGATTTTGTGTGCAAAATGTTTTGTTCTAAGCAATCTCAATTGTGTTCTTGAATGGAAAAGAGAGCAGGGGGCAAGTTAGAGGAGTATCTTAGGCCCTGTATCAACAACATTTGAAGTGGTTTTCCTCTTCAAGAGTCTATCCCAATCTAATGTGATAATCAGGCTACCATACACATAGCAACTGACCTAGTATTCCACAAGTGCACTAAACACAATGAAGTTGACTCTCACTAAGCACACGACAAAGTAACTGCAAAGAGTATCTCCACTCCTCATGAAAGAACCTCTGAACAACCTGTTGACATTTTTAGTGGAGGAGTTGGGCACGGTTGCAAGAACTTATGAGGAAGTTGGGTATTCATGACATTCATGCACAAATTTGTGGGCGAATCTAGATAGATGTGTGACCCATAAGGGTACATTTGTCCTCTATGTATACTTTTGTACTACGCATATGTTGTATTCATCTATGGCACATATAAGGACTTAAGTGTACAATGTAAAACATTCTGTTTTTAGGAGTCTTGCTTTTGTCCTTCATCATTGTGATGTGGGCGACAATCAGTTCATCCCTATCTCATCAAATAATCTATTGCAACAATGACCGAATGAATTCTTCAGTGAGAATGTTTTTCTTTTTTTATATTTTTTTGTGAGATTGAAGTATCAAATTTATGTTATGAATATCAGAGTAGATTCAACAATATGACTACACAATGCAGCTAGCCATAATCAAGGTCAAACCCTAGATCAAATCAACAAGGGAATTACTCAAAACCACACAAATCACAAAACTCTGAAGTGATGAAACAAGGAGCACTAAGTAAATTCCATATAGATGATCTTCTATGGAGAATTCCAGCTCATCACTTGCAGACACACTTGGACCTTAATACCATGTCTAAACAAAATAGAAAAGTGTTTACTCCTTCAATTCAAAATGGTATATACATAAATACATACAGAAATACTACCTACATGCACAAGAAAAATTTTTAATAATTCCAGTGCCTTCTTTAGAACAAGTCAAAGAATACCACCATACAAGTCAGGTAGGACAAAATGAGATCGTTTTAGCAATAAATGCAATTTTGTAAAATTAAAAACACAATTGTAATTTGGAGAGCTCTGTTTTCGGTTTAAATCAAAGGTCTTCGTGAAGGTATCATTTGATTGGAGACATTGATTTACAAATAAATAAATAAGAGGAGCTTTCAAAGCAATTAAACATAAGCAAAGAGCATTACTGGTATAATCAATATATATCAAGACTAAAAGGCAACAGAAGAAAAAGTACCACATGTTTTTGTCAGAGAGAACTTGATAGGCTCATAACCATCTATTGGGATGGTAAAAACAACTTCATATGGGCTGCTGTTAGCTTTATCACCTGTAAATTGAAGATTTATGAATTCAGGTGTCCTCAGATGAAGCAAATGAAAACAAATAAGAGAACAATACATCTCCAATTCACATTCAGTATGGTAGGTGACAACGTTGTTGGGGGGCTCCCTTTTGCCCCTGAGCCTGACAGTTTAACCTCCAAACCTTTGCTTGGGTTAACCTGTTCCATGACGCAACAAAAACATAAAAAACTAGGTGATGATGCAGGGACCAAACAAACAGGGAAACAAGATTAAATTTATACCTCAAAGCTTGGTTTTCCAACCAAATTGGAAAGAGTAGAAATTGCAGTAAGATAAAGAGATACTATAGTCTGATCTGTTCCAAAGCTGTAAACATTGAAAAGCATTAAAGATATGTAGGATGGGTTAAAAAAAACAATGGACTTGAATTTTCTTTAGGCAATAAGAAAAAGTTATCAACATCCTTTTCAGAGAAGAATCATATAAGTAGGGAATTACCTAAAGAATCAATAACGACGGGGCAGAATTTATTGATCAAAACAACTAGGAAAGAGGAGTCCATGGACATAAATGCATGTATAGCACCAGAAGCCCACTAATAACTCTCCACACAACATCCTCTACAGTAGTACACATCCTTTATTGGCAGTTTATGCATTCCTAAAATGCTTCGCTAGCTAAGTATCATTCAATTTCTAGTGTACAGATGACCGTCACAAAGCTTGCAAAACAATTATCTTGTGATTTTACATATGTTTTAAAAGTAACCAAGACAGATATAGCACCCAATATTGAAATAGCAGATAAGTAAAGGGATGGAGGCATGGCAATGCATTGGGAGTGACCGTAAATTGCTTAAACAAAAAAAGCAAATTCTCTCATTTAGCTGGTTCTGAACAATCAGGTTATTCTACTTTTTCTCTAAGGCCTGCCTGAGTTCATGAATGTATCAATCCGGTAAATGTAACTGATCATGAAACGCTTAATAGAAACAGGTTTCGTTTATTGTTTTCTGTTTCTTCTTTTGAGGCTCTACTGATAGTGCAAAATTTGAGTTAGTTTGACAATGAGTTGCCATAGGCCAACTAGCTATTTGGCATGTCAGTAAGGTAGTCTGTAATTTCTTTTGAGTTCAACCCTCATTTGGAGTAGAAAAAGAGAAGGAACTAGTCAAGAGCATAACCCAAACACCATCTTGAAAAAAGATATTTGAAAATTTTTAAAGATAAAACTTCACATTGCAATCCTCAATATATTCAGTATGTACAAAATTGATGGTTTTACTTCAAAAGCGAGTATAAATATTTCAAAATCTCAACAATTCACCTTAAGCCTCTTTAATTTTTCAGTTGCACTAGAGCACAGCCAAAAAAGAGTCAAAATCTAGATCCCCTTAGGAATTTCCTCAGCATCAAATTGAAATTTACAACCACATTCTCAGGAGATCATTAATGCAGAATCAAGAAGGGAAAAATGAAAAAAACTTCTGATCTTCACCAGAAATAAACATGCTGGAATTCGCCACTAAAACTGTCTCCTTAATCATGCCAATTCTAGTTTATCCCTAAACAAAATAAAATACAGAAAATTTAATGGTTGTATAAGAAAAGTACAATGGTGAAATTTTCAACAAGTTCAAGAAGAGTAATTCCTAACCTGAATTCATGATAAGGCTTTTCAAAACCCATCTGAGTCATGCCATTGTAAACCTAAAAGATCATAACGCAAACCGTTATTATTGCCAACTTGATAATATCATAGAATAATTTATCAAGAAGTAAATAAAGAAGAGGCACCACTATGATAAGCAGAAAACGTTCATACAACTTCCCATGATCGTGGATGAAATCCAACTGTGAAACCCTCAAAAACTCGTGAACCACGATGACCACAAGAAATAGCCAGCTCAACAAGAACCCTAGATGGGAAGAAAAGTGAGATAATAAATAAGAGTCCGCTTATAAGAAATTTTACAATAAGACTAGTGATGGTTATCTTCTTGTGATGTAGGAACACATTCAGAAAAACAGAAATCAACAATAACTCAGGCCAAATACACGCAACAAGAAGAAGAAAACTAGGGTTTCTCTGTCAAACTTTAACAAGGGAGCAATAGCTTCCTTCTCATTATTCCTCTTTTCTCTGAAAAAAATCAAGTGAATCTCCCATAGGGATCAACACACACACCTCTCTTTTATTCAATACTTTAATTACAAAGTCAATAATGCCGCCTAACCAAAACTAAAATGAGTAACTTAAAGTAAAACTCTTAATGACAATTTTATCCCCGATAAAATAAATTATTCCATAAACACTAAAGTATTTTTCTAAACAGCTCCTAAAAACCCTAAAAATGTAAAATAAGCATGGGATCTCCAAAAAACTTAAAAACCCTAAAGTCAACACTAAAGTTAAAATTAAAATATAATATTTGGAATTGAATAAAAATTAAAAATTAAAATAGATTTGTCATGCATCAACCTCCCCTAGTTGGAGAAAACTTGTTCTTCAGTTCTGAAATAGGTTAAGATGAATCCATCATCAAAACCACCTTCTTCTTAGTTTAATCAAAAATTATTCGTGGTAAGAAATCATCAAGAAACAGATCCTGATATGTATATTGAGGAATAGACACAAATATATCAAATTCAGCTATCCCCTGAAGCCACATTAACAATTGAGTAGGAAACGTCAAACTCAGTTTTCTGGCCTGTCAAAGAGTAATTTGTTTTGCGTATTGGGGCATATCTGTTATTTATATATATTTTAAAATACTTATTTTCATTTAGGGTATTTTTGTCCTTGCAAACCTTAAACGAACATTACAAATAAAGAGATTAGTGGGGCATGGGGTGGCTGAATCTAATGTCAGTCTCTCCTCTCTTCTCTTTCATATTTCCTCTTGTCTCTCTTTCTTTTCCTCTTTTCTTCCCTTTCTCTCTCTAGTTTTAACACATTTTACTGTTCACAGTATTATTCATAGCACTCTTCACAACATTTTACAGTAATGTTCACAGCATAGTTCATGACACTGTTCACAGTAATGTTGATATGGTATCAGAGCACTGATTTGGTTATTGTCTCCTCTCTTCTTTAAAGAAATAGCTACCTTTTTCTAAAAAAAGGAGAGAGGGAAAATCCTAATTCTCTTCGTGCTGATTTCGTCAAGAAATATTCCTTTGTGTGTGTGTGAGGCCAACATGGTGGCATTTGTGTGTTGTACATGTTTGTGCCATTGTGAAAAGCCGAGAGAAACAAGTGTGAAATGCCGCAGGGGGTGTTGAACAAGTTGTGAATGACTTGTTTTGGGGTTTCATCGTGAGTTATAATGGAAAGAGCTTTATGCTATCCGCTGTTTTGTGCTTGTGAATTGTTGGATTTATAAATTTCCAGCAAGTTTTTGAGGTGTTTTTAGTGTGGGACCTGACATATAGATTCATACCTTGCTCATTTGAGATTGTTGTATTATGGCCGAGGAAAGTAAACTTGGAATTTCTAATGTCAATGACATAATAGGAATTTCAGCTATCTCTGAAAGATTAAATGGGTCCAATTACCTTTTATGGGCCCAATCCATAAAAGTTTTTCTGGGCAGAAGGGGTAAGATGAAATTTTAAACTAAATATGGCCCAAAGAGTTGGAATGTGGGTAAAATGAGTGGCTTAGGGAGAACTATCAGATTATGACATGATTATGGACAAGTATGGAATGTGAATGTTGATATTATGTTCTATGATACTGCTAAGGAAGTGTGGGAAGCTGTAAAGAAAATATACTACTCTGATAAAAATATTTCTGGATTTATCAATTTTAGTTTATGTCATTTACAGCAAGGAGATAAAAGCCTCAGTGATTATTATAGCTTTGTTCAAGGTATGTGGGAAGAGTTGAATATCTATCAACCCCTAACAAATGATATGGAACGTCTTAAAAAGCAAAGAGAGAAATTTAGAGTTGTAATTCTCAGTATCATGTTGTGGTGTCCAGATCTAGTGCAGAGATTGAGTATAGAGCTATGGCCTATACCATATGTGAACTAACGTGGATGAAAGCCCTGATGCAGGAAATGGGTTTTTCAATTACTGAACCAATGAAGATGGTTTGTGACAATCAAGCAGCCACTTATATTGGGAGCAATCTAATTTTTCATGAAAAAACGAAGTATATTGAACTGGATTGTCACTTCATTCATGAGAAAGTGACCAGCAAGCAAATAACCACCCCATAGTGAAGTTGTCAGACCAATTGGATGATATATTCACCAAGGCGCATAGTCGTAACCAATATTAGGACATTAGTTCCAAGCTAAGCATGGGTGACATCTATGCTCCAACTTGAGGGGGAGTGTTAAAGAATAACTTGTTTTGTGTATTGGGGCATTTCTATCATTTTTATACACTTTAGGATATGTATTCGTTTTTAGGGTATTTTTTGTCCTTTGTAAACCCTAAACATACATTAAAAATAAAAATATTAGTGGGGCATGGGATGATTGAATCTCATGTCACTGTCTCCTCTCTTCTCTTTCATATTTTCTCTCTTCTCTATTTGTTTTCCTCTTCTGTTCCCTTTCTTTCTCGAGTTTTGATGCTTTTTACTGTTCATAGCACTGTTTATAGTACCGTTCACGATACTATTCACATTAGCATTCATGATACTATTCACAGCACTGTTCACATGGCCTTTATAGGATTTCTCAACATCTATTTTCTCTGAATCCAGGGTCACAATTTGCAGTTTATAAGTTAATTGTGCTTCCGCAGCGCTACTCTAATTCCAATGCCCTAAATCTCTTGAGTACTCCAACTCTTTGATATCATTGACTAATTGAGATCTTCGACTTGAACGCCATCATAAATCGGAACTCCTAAGAAATCTTGTTGTTCATCTGATTATGTAATGAATATTGGTAGCGAATCCCAATCTACAACCAGCTAATCTAGATAAAACTGCCTTTTGAATAACCACTCTATTTCATTCGCTTATTCTTTCGCTGACTAGTCTTCCTTGCCAGGTTACATTGTTGGTTTCCCTGTTCTTGGTAGCATTTAAAGAGGGAGAAGTTATAGCTTGCTTAGCTTAGAGCTTGTCTCCTATGTCAAAATCAAGAATGTCCTCCTTTAAATCGAAAATTCTAAAGGATGTTCCCCACGTCTAGGTCTTCTATCACTTTCTCTTCACTCAACTCTTCAGACAAAGCACGGCAGCGAAAAGGATTAAATTCAATATCTTCATAGTGGAAAGATCCCCCTCTTGCCCATGAGTGATGTCTGCGAGTTGTTGCATAAGCTGCTAAACAATGCCTTCTAAGGTCTTCAATCACCTCGTCTCCAGGATCATGAGGTAGACAGAGGAAAGCCCCCTTCCACGGTCCCTTTTCGCTGTCAGGGGTTTATCGAAATCACAAACCCTAGGGATAGAATGAACAAAACCTCGCTCAAATTAGCAAGATCCTGGTTGAATTTGGAAAACCCTAGCCAAAAATCTGCAAACTCTAGATTTGGCCATAATTCCCTACCCTTGTTGTTAAAGAAATCAAAGCTCTTATAACAAATTGATGTAGGAAAATTGATAGAAGAACATAAAAAAACAAAAATCAGGCTAAATATACGTAATAAATAGATGGAACCCAGGATTTCTTCCTCAAACCTTAAAGGGAGCAATAGCTTCCTTTTCCTTATACCTCTTTTCTCTAAAAATCAGGCGAATCTCCCCATAAAAATCCACGTACCTCTCTTTTATTCAATACTTCAGTCACAAAGTCAATAATGCCCCCTAACCAAAAGTAAAATGAGTAGAACAGTCTCAACTTAAAATAAAGCTCATAATGACAATTTTTTCCCCTGATAAAACAAAATATTCCATAAACACCATGTACTTTTCTAAAAACTCCCAAAAATCCTAAAAATGTAAAAAACAAAACCCTGGAATCCCTAAGAAAACTTTAAAATCCTAAAAATAAATACTAAAATTAAAATATACAGCACCTGAAATTGAATAAAAATTAAAAATGAAAATAGTTTTGCCCTTCGTCTTGTTATCATGAATAACTCTCACAAAAAGAAAGGAATAACAATCTCTGTTCCTTACAAGTTAAACATATCAATGAAATAATTCACAGAAGAGAACTAACTTCATGACGATAGACAAGAAATTTAGCACAAGAAATTAGAGAGATGTTATCAAACGAAATGTAGTTAATGAATAAAGTGAAGCTTCCTACAGTACTTTCACATTGCCCCAGCCATCCTTCGCTGAAATCAGACAGTTGGGTTGAAGTGAAAGTACCGTAGGAAGTTCACTATATTTAGTGCATACACAGCCTTATCAAAAGGTACAATGTCAAAAATATTTTAAAAAGCAATAGCTTACTGCAGGGAATGGAATTTATATTTGTAGAATGTTTTGAGTATTCAACTAATTTTCAACATTTATGGAGCTTTTATCGCACTCCTTCGATATTATTATGCATTCATCAGCAATGGGTTCATTTCACAGTTTCAAAACTTACATGCCTAGACTTGAATCAGCAGAACCAAGCCTCTGCCAAGTTATATGAGACTCAATAAAGTCTCAATTTCCTCTTCCAATTTTTTAAATGACGTGGACAAGTCATGGTTGATTTAGCACATTGAGTCTGAGTGACTCGCATTAGTATTACGTGGACACCAAAACAAACACGGCATCGAACATGAGTGGCAGGCGTCTTAGTACTTCAGCTTGAAATGTTGATACATCAACACACCTGTACACTGCCTGTTTTAACAGAAATTTATCACACCGAAGAGATGCACTGTTTAACATCTCTCCCCTTTCTTTTGCCCATCAAATGACACGTCATCAGGCATCAGAGCTTGTGGGAAACTTGTGGGAGGGGCACTTTCCAATTTCATCACTCCACTAAAACCAAGTGGTTTTTAAGAAAACCACATATCCTTCAAAATGATAAAGAGAAACCCACTTACTCCTCAATACCATTTAACCATCTCCCTCTACTTGTAAGCCAAATTGAGATCCCCCTTGATCTATAGGAGCTAATCAAAGCCTCGAAATTGTTACCTAGATGTGACACTCAACAATCCCCCATGAAGAAGCTCTCTCATTCTCAGCCTTTGCGAAAAACCACTTCCAACCTATTTTCTCACTCGCTCTCTCAAAACCAAGCCCCCAATTCTCTCTCCTCCAATTAACATTCAACCCCAAAACCGCACCTCCCCCACCAAAAACAAAGAATCACACAGTTCAATTTGGAAACACCCAACCAAATCTTCTCTCACTAAACTTAGCATCAAAAATGTTGACAGCAAATTTGGGAAAAAGGGGGGGAGAAGAGAGTTTTCTTTTGACAACGAATAAGTCTCTCACATTGAAGAGTGCTTGAAAATAGCATTGAACAGTACTTTTCTATTTATTTTTATGTAACAAGCTACAATACAATGACGATGTATTCTTGTACACAAAAAACCACCATATACAACCAGGTTCCTCCTATGGGGGTCACTTCCAACTTCCAAGTGAGAGATCCATCATCAGTACAAAAGAACAAAAGCAGACCAAAACCCACCATGAGTCATATTTGCCCCGTCTTCTAAGAGCATAGACTTCACCCCTTCTTCATTATCTAATACTCTCATTTGAGAGGATAAATGCTCTCATTCTCAGAGAGATAATCAGGCTTGCAGCTCTACTGGAACACACTCCACATTACGAAATCAAGCATGGTCATAGTGGTGTATATGGAGATGAGCAATAGCCCCTCCCATAAAGTATTCGTCCAAAATAATAGAAGAAAGGCGCTGAGAAATAATACCAAGCTCTGACAACCCTTTACTTAAACAGGGCCCCAAGTGCAACCAAGCTGAGGGTATTATGCAAAGAGATTAAGAGAGAAGAAGCTGTTTCTCTCCCTCTTTACTATAAGGGCCTTCCAAATGGCTGCAATTCACCTGCAGTTCTCCATATCACTCACCGCCATGGCCAAGTTGTTGACCACTTGGTGAGGATTATGGCAGCAATCAAAAGGAAATAAGAAAAATTGGGTGGGGAAAATTCCAGAGAATCGAGAGAACAGACAAGAGGGTGGCATTGACAATGAGGATGAAGAGAGAGGAGGAGATGAGCAGTCGGGGTGCACAGAGAGAAGAGGATGTTGGTGCTTTATTCATAGAGAGAGAGACTGGTTTGGAAGAGGTAGGCTTTTGCGAGGAGGAAGAGAGAACAAAGGGGAGAGAGAGGAGAGTGAGGGGAAAGAGAGGAGAGTTTGCGAGAGCTTGACGAGATAGGTTTTGACAGATAAATGGTTTTCTTGAAACCCACTTGGTTGTGAGGGAGGAAATATTTTGTACAGTGCCCTCCCACAACTTCTGAGTTCTGAACCATAATGCGTCATTCGAGGAGGTTTTGAAACTAGATCAAAATATATGGTTAGAAGTTAATTGCGTGGTTTGATAAACTTCCCTTATTTCAACATAAAATAACTAGGTATACATAATAAAACTTCCTAATTCATCCCACAAGGAAGTGGTTGCTGAAGGGGTAGAACATACAGCTTCAATGCATGAAGCCTTAAGTTCAAACCAAAGCTTGAGGATATATATTATTTTTATCATTCCCTGGGTCTAGAGGTGTCAACAGGTGCCAAAGTATTGATATGTGTTGGCGCGCTACACCAGTCCAAGGCTGGAGTGTCAAGGCAGACTGCCCAGCCTAGTCAGCCCAAGTCAAAAGGCATAGAAGCGTGACATGTTCCTAGCCAATTCATGGTTCAGGACTATGTCTTGAGGACTAAATATGCTACTGAGCTGAGTTGAAGAAAAACCTGCACATTGTACCATCATAGGATACACTGCATACGCAGCCACGCTTCTCTAAGACATAGCAAAGAGTAAATGTCAGAAAAACCTGTTTCACTTAAAAAAAAAACAGCATTCTTTTTTCAGCAACCAGAAATAGTGGAACAGCTAGAGACATGAAGCATAAGACACAATTCTGTGTTATGTTTAAAGGAAATAGAATATCCCTATGTATGTTTAATAATTAGACATTTCACTACGTGAATAAAATAACATGAAACTTGCATGCAACAATCAAATAAAATAGGCAAATAAGATATCCATGCAATAGTAAGACCACCATACTAATCATTACATAGCAAAACTGGACTTTCAGTGCCTTGAAAGAGTTTCTATAATACCATTAATCTACCACATTACTGATGACCAAGGTTTCATCCAAGTTTAAAACCCAAAATCTGGATACAGGTACTACGCAATACGGAAATGAGATAAGTAGTTCCAGTTCATTATTTATAGTAGAGAAGATTTACCATAGAGCAAAATTTTGCTTTTGAACAAGATTAAGCTAGTCTGCAAGTTTAAGTCATGCTTGGAAAATGGTTTCGGATATCTGAGTGAGAGGATTTGTGTGGAACAAGGCAAAGCAAGGAAGGTCTTCACATTGTATTTGGGTCACAGAAGCTAGCAAGAACCACAATTGTCTGACCATGTTTGTCATTTGTCATATGGGGCCCTTTGTTTATTTCACACTAGTGCATCTCCTTTAGGTTCACGCATGAGGAGGCTTCATTCTACTTGGTAGATCCATGCGGATTGTGGACAACTACTAAAGCAACCAGCTGTATTTACTATGTATAATGTATATTCCGTCAAACTAACATTCGAAAAATCACTCAGTGAATTCATCACCAAATGTTAAATCATAATCATCTCCTTGGCATAAGATTTGCATCAGCAAGCCACTTTGATTTCCGGCCAAGAATTGACACCAGCTGAGGAAGAAAGAAATGAATGGCATCATACTCTTTAAGTGTTTCATCTCGTCATATATATTTACCAGAAAAGTTGGGTAATTAAGTATATCATCCTGTCATAGTTAAAATACAGCAAACTAATATGTGACAGATGAAAGAGTATAAGAGAGATTAAGATCTATAAAGTGAGGGACCTTGGGCTAGACTAAGTATGAGCTAGCAAACCATAAAATATAAAGCTGCCTATAATGGTTGCCTTTGATCACTCATGCATTAAGGAAAATATAAGAAAAATGCAGCATCCAAGCGATTGACTGACTCCCAACCAGCTCTGAACATTTTGACCAATCAGCTAATGGATCCTCTCATAATGATATTGAATTATGTAATGGAAAAAGTTTATATAAGGATGCTACCTTATAATGTAGAACTACAGATGCCCCTCAAAAATGCATTGGAAAAGGTAGTTTTAATGTTGAAAAACCCTTTGATTGATTATGAAAAATAAAAAGATTTTAAGTCTCAAAAAAAGTGCATTTTACAACATATTATCTACACCGTCTGTTTTCAAGATTTTCATATGTTTATAGATCTACTTGATTTTAACCATTTTTGAAATTTAAAATTTTATAATTAGATATAAATATAGATTTTGAGATAATCTTAATAACATTTTACATCAAAATTATATACCATGATAAAATTTGAAGGGCACCTTATCTCTACACCTACCAAGGCATCCGTATGCCAACTGCATCCGTATGCCAACTGCATCCTAATGTAATTGTCCGTGGGAGAGGAGAGAAATAACATGAATTGATTCTCCAAAAGAGAAACCCTACAACCACATCTTCACACATCCAACCCAAGACTCCATGGAGTTTAGAGGGTAACTAGCAACATTTTCTAGGACTTGCTACTCTGAGTGGCAAAGGAAGCAATGAAAGAACCCTTAATGTAGTTTTAAAATCTCTACGAATATGTTGTGGAATCATATTATTGTCGATATTGGCCATGGAATAGGCATTCAAGCACAAAATACTTAGTAGTAAGCCATTTTGGAAAAGATCTAACAAATGATGCACAAGAAATGGAGTGCCTAGCAAGTTTTTATATGTCAGTTTTTCAAAGGGAGCAATGCAAATCAATCAAAGATAAGTTTTCAAAACAAAATTCTATAAATATTCAAGCAAGTCTACTTACATAGGCCACTTACAATTCAAAAATAATAAAATAAAACTATACTACAATCTAAGGATCCACTCTTACTACCATAAAAAAAATTATTCATAAAAGAAAAAGAATTACAAAATCAAAGTGAATCAAGAACAAAAGGAAGCCTTTTACAGGAACAAGTTGGTTAGGGATCACCTTCGAAAGACTTTGGTACACTCCACTCTGGATCACCAAGGTAGATGGTGCACAGAGTTCTAACTATGTGTTGATGTCGTCTTTATACTTTTATTAATCAAAGCTATGTCATCTGCAAACAACATACACCATGGCACCTCATCCTGCATATGCCTAGTTAACTCATTCATAACCAAAATAAAGAGATATGGGCCCAACACTAACCCCTGGTGTGGCCTACTGTCACAAGAAACTGATTAGTCTCTCCATTAGTTATCATCACTCGTCACACTAGTTAGCGCTCCCTTGTACATATCCCTCATCATGTCAATATATCCTCTAGAGACTCATTTATTTTCCAACACCAACCAAATTAACTCTCTAGGCACCCTATCGTATGCTTTCAGTAAATCAGCAAAGACCATGTGGAGGTCTTTTCTCGTCTCCCTAAACTTCAATAATTACCCTCAATTGTTGACCTCCCACACATAGAACCAATTTGATTTTCCGATACACTCGTTTCATGTCGTAGTCAGTGTTCTAAGACTCAGCCGAGTAACTCTGCTTTGCCCTATGGGCAAAGCGAGTTTTGGGCGAGTAGGTTGTACAACATACTTGCAAAGTTATTTATATTAATGTCGACAAATTTAAGTCATGTGTGGCTCCGTGGTTAGTCCTAACGCCTATGTTATAGCATGATCAGGGTTCGAATCTCACTAGCAAACAACACTTTTTAAAGGCTGTTATTTTTTTCATATGAAGGGAGTTCCAAACAAAAAGGGTAGCCCCTAAGAATTGAACTCTACACCTCTTACAAAGAACGAGATTTATGTGAAGCAACCTAACCCACATGCCATTAGCTTTTTGATTGAAAACGCTGCCCGTTAATTAAATATTATGTTTCCGTGTTCATTTTCTTTAACAACAAATTGAGATAGACTTGGGCAAGTTACTCGAACTCGCCCAAGTAACTCGCCTCAGCCAAGGTCGAAGTACCTTAGCCGAGTCAATTTTCTAAACGCCAATCGTAGTCATTGCTCAATCACTATCTCCAACGGCTTCATAGTATGTCTCATAAGTTTGATCCCTCGATAGTTTGTACAATTTTGTATGTCTCATTTTTCTTTCTTTTATTAACACTAATTGTTAGTAATGGGTTAGCAAATTTTTATTAATACTTTTCAAAAGGGGTTAGCATTGGTAGGAATGGAAACTGAGACCGGTAGCTGAGTCACAGGTAGTGCTACCACCTTGACTTCAACCCCATTCTTGTCTCCTTTGTTCTTGTATATAGGTAGCACAATACTTTTTTTCCATTTGTCTAGCACTTTCTTTGTTCTCAAAATCTTGTTGAACAGCTTGGTCAACTATTTTTATTCCTTTCTTAAAATACCTCGATATTTTTTAATGCTGAAAAATACATTTGTTTTGTATTAAAAAATTCATGATGCAAAATAAAATACATAATGCACTTCCAATAGCTCTAGTGATCCATAAATTTTCTAAAATATAAGCAAACATTATTAGAAGAGAATTGGATCCATCGGGTCAGAGTTACGCGAAGTTACTAAGGCACCCCACCAATGCTAATCCATGTAATCCACAGTCTACCTTCTTAAACCAACCCAACAGATCCCATTACCCAAAGTCAATCGCAGCGGCTCATGATTGGTCCATCAAAGTTGGCCAAGAAATAGTGAGTATACAAGTCTAGTGTGTGGATTACATGTTCCCCCCAAGGGCAGGTCATGTCCCGCATGAACATGTGCACAATATCGCGATGGTGCAAGGGGTCCTCTCTTTAGCACATGTGCATGCACTATCTTAACGGGTTGTTTCCCATCGATGCAGCCATTATGTATACATGTCGTGCAGTAGTAATGCTGAGCATTCGGTCCTTGCCCTCACAAGCCACCAACAGCACACATGAGACTGGCCACCTCCTAACAAAACCACCTTGGGCATCTCTCCCTCAATAAGGGATTACTTTGCAAACCCTCTACAACTTGCCTTATGCCCACGGCTAAAGGGTTTTAAACTAACTCCACACCTAGACCACCCAACCAAGGTGAGTTGACTGGCACCACGAAATATGCCCACACACCCACTGGATTACACTATTAATATACTCGTGAGTTTTTTTACAAGCTCTCAAGGCCTATGAAGGCCACAAACCCCAATAATTTTTGGGGGCTTAGGTTCTAAAAATTCCCCATTATCCATTTCCATCAAAAGGATAATGCATGGTTTATTGATTTGAAGAAAATTAACAAGTTGTTGTAGGTAAAATGTTTATAAAAGGGGCTGGGAGAGGTGTCCCACTCTGTTTGTACTTCAGGTACAACGTGATGTATACATTTTCAAAGCATGAATAGCAGTTAATTATGAAAACATAAAAAGGAGTGGAAGCAGGAAGGAGGAAATGTTCCTCAAGGAACACCAAAGGAGCACGACAATATTTGTCCTCTTTTATAACCAAAGGGGAAGTTGGTTTTAAGGGGGTGCAGGGGGGCGCAAACTACCCTAGTCAAGGTTCCTGCAACTAAGTTTCATGAAACAATATTGGGAAACAAGAGTTCGACATACATAGAAATCATTTCACGAACATGTATATCCAATATAAATAAAGAACAAGATGAATTCATGATCACTTAATAGCCCTGGCAATTATTTGAATTTAGAAGATGATTCATTTATGAATTCATGATCACATAATAGCCCTGGGAATTATTTGAATTTAGAAGATGATTCATTTCAGAAAACTACTTTTTCATTTGAAGGAACCAAGCAATGCAAACAATGTTAATCATGCCAAAAAGTGAAGAAATCATCACAAAGTAGCAACTTCAAAAAAGAGGCCTATAAAAGAAAATTAGCTTACAGAATCCTTGCAACCAAAGGTTACAAACCCGACAACAGAGACCCATAAATGTAAGCTTTCATAATCAAGAGGCCCATAAATGAAATTTAGATTACAGATCCAGAAATTAATATCGCGCACCTTTACAAGTTTCTCTATCGGAACAACGGCCACAGAATATGTTAACCTATTAAGCCATACACAAAGACAAGCTGGTCATAGAGCTGCAAACACTGAAGATCTTAGCATACTCTCTAAGTAGGTCAATAAAAATTTCCCCAACCAACCTGAGCAGTCCGGCCCATTTTATCAAAGCTATGCAATTCACAGTTTGTCAGGTCACCAGAGTGGAATTCCTGTACTTGGGAATGAAGATAGCACTATCAAATCAGTATGTAACACATATTGGTAGAAATTCCACAATAATAAAAATGAAAACATTGCCTAAATGCAAACCAAGATTCATCTGTGCTTTGGTGGTTCATATACACAGCTCTCTTTTTCTAGATTTAAGAATGGTTGCCCCTTTGATACCTATCATTGGTTGTCGGGTCATTTATGTAACTTTTCCCTAGCTCTAGAGCATCATAATTTTGTTAAAAAGAACTAACTTATTTGATCCTCAACCACTTTTAGATGGTATCAGAGTGCTTGTGAGGAGGGCACAAAACCTAGGATTCATTTTGCAGATCCTCTCATTTAAGAGAGACAAATCCTTGGTATAGAAATAAGGTTCAATAATAGTATTAAATATGAATTTCCAAAATGAAGCCAGAAAAGTATGGCCACGAGTTTATAGAGCAAACGCATCTTATGGGCAGCAAATCCATAGCAAAGTCCCTTGGCAGAATGTCATATTTTTTACAGCAAACCTTACTCCTTTTTGGCAGTCTCCGTCCACTAGACATTGTGCATGCCACCCATATAGTTGGTACGCAATAGCTTATGGCTTCTTCTCATAAGCGACATTTTTCAGTAGTTCATAGCATAATTCATCATGTGTTAAATACACGTCTCTAGGAACTAGTGATAACTGCAGCACCATTTTAGTTTATCACCAATTAGAATTTAGACTAGGCAAGTTGCCAAAATACCAATCACCACAAGGTATTGCTTGCGTCATGTACTTTCTCTTATGTCATTGATTAAGAAACAAGACATTGCTGCAAAGTCATTAGCTGGAGCAGAGTATTGCATTGTTTCAAACACATGTTACAAGACTTTTATACATATTCTCCTTACGGATTTTTGACATGGGATATTTGCATACCTTCACCCCAACAATATGCTAATCTCATCCCATTTAGATTGTTTTAAATCCAATCTTTGTGCAAAGGATGAAGCATATTTGAGGATTTGCGGTTAATATGTCAATTTTATATAGAGGTTCTTTGTGGTATTGCTTACGCAAAAAAGTGAAGTTTCTCCGCATTATTTAATGACTTCATATTCCACCATAGCTCAGCCAAACAACTCCTTCATCAAATCATGAGATGCGAGCTTTTGTGAGCAAAGACTTCCCGCATGACTTCTATCCTCCAAATTCAGTATGAAGGCTGAGCTCTTGGTCTCTTATCTGGTATTGCTCATGCAAAAAAGTGAAGTTTCTCAGAGTTATTTAACCAGATTCTGCCATAGCTCAGATAAACGACTCTTTCACCTAGTCATGAGATGGATCAAGATTCAGAGCCTATTTTGTGAGCAAAAACTTCCTGCATGACTTCTATCCTCCAAATTCAGCATATTCAGCATGAAGGCTGAGCTCTTGGTGCCTTATCTTTATTTATATGGTACATTTCAGAGTTTCTTGTAAGTGCGTTTTATCTCTTATTTTATGGCAATTAACTTTGGAATCCTCAAGTACATAAGGTAATTAATCCCTCATCTCATATTAATAAAAAACACTTTACATAGACTACACTTGCACCCAAGTCTTGACACGTTGGACCCTTTATCATCAAATGCCAAAAACCCACACAATCACAAACCTCCAAATCACTCAATCAATGATATAATGTCTCTTCTAATTTGGCAGAGTTGAAAATCCATATGGAATTCACCACTTCCATTAACTACTTAATTGTAATCATTTGATGCAAAATATAGAAAATAACACAACTAAATACAAGTATCAAAGGGAGCATTTGTTCTGGACCTTTATTCCCATTATACGATTTGTAAGCATCATATGATGTAGAAAACTATCTACTTCAGAACATAAATTGGTTTTTATGTTTTACAAAGTACAAAGTGTAGGCTTCATATAACACAGTATCTTAGTGGCAAGAGTAACAAGCAATACAAATATTCCTAATACTTAGTAGTTTAAATTCAAAATATAGCAACAGGAATCATGAATAAAATCACGAGCATGTCAATTAGATCAAATCACATTGCTCACGTCCCTTGAAAAAAGTTTCACCAGCCTACATCTTGAACGATGTTATGCAGCAATATTTTACCAGTTTTTATTGGTCTCTTAGTCCAAAACATAAAAATTGAACCATTTGCGAAGTACATTGATAGTGGTGGCAATATCTTCTTAACCTAACACCCCTGATCCAAACCCAGCTTTTTTTATCAACTAAACCAATTAAAATACCAGGTTAATTCCAGGTTAATGTACCACTGAACTATTCACATATCTAAAATATGAATGATAGGTATATATGCAAATGGAATTATGTACCCATTTCTCACTTACTTGAACAAAGTTCCCTGATCCAGAAGAAGCAATAAAGTAAAGAGAAGGTTCATATCGGCCAAAGTCCACATAACCCTGCACAGTAATTAACACAGAAGATACATAAAAATTTTCAAAATGATAGGCAGAAGAAGAAAGAGATATAACTGGAAGGTACCCACCAACGTACTGCTGGGAAAACCTGTCCAACAGCAGAAATGAGAAAATATTCCAGGAATAGTTTTCCAGAAAGGGCCCTAAATCGATTATTATTTTTTACATTGACAATGCATCTGCTGCTATAATCAAAAAAAGGAAAGGAAAACTAACAGCATGTTGACAATGCATTTGCTGGTATAATCACAAAATGAAAGGAAGACTCTCTCTCTCTCTCTCTCTCTCTCTCTCTCAACCCTTATAGTTTCCCTTCACCCAGAAGACAAAGCTGAACCTCACGTCTGGTTTTAGTTTCCCCCCTCTCTTCTACCGATTGAGGGCTCAAAGACCCAATCATGCAGGATATCCCCCTATGAAACCTATACCATGATTACTTAAACCTCATTAATCATTAATGCCCAAAACGTAGGCTGCCAAAAAACTATTACCGACCAGTGTTACATGGAGACCAACATGCGCATCATTATTTAATGTGTCAAGATGTCTAGTACCTATCATGTTCCTGACATGTCCGTACAAGCACAAGTGCCGAGAGGGTGGGGATGACCCCTCTTACAACCAGTGTTACATGGAGACCAACATGCGCATCAATATTTAATGTGTCAAGATGTCTAGTACCTATCATGTTCCTGACATGTCCGTACAAGCACAAGTGCAAAGAGGGTGGGGATGACCCCTCTTACAAAAGATCACACGTTCAAACCCCCCGCTAGGTAACACTTTACTTTGAGCAAGAGAAAATTTATTCTTATGCAGTATCCATTTATTGCAGCAAAGTAAAATGGCAGCGGTGTAGACCTTACCATATGTGCTCATGAGGTTCAATTTCCTAATATCATGAGTAAACCTATTTTCTAATGCAGTGTCCATTTATATTAAAAATGTTTAAATTGAGTAAAAAAAATTAAAATTAAGCTCATACACGACAAAAACATGCCAAGATTTGAATCCTAGACCTCAAGGTGTTAAACACCTGTTCGCTCTACTACGTTAGCCTTGGCATATCAATGTATTAAAAAAGAAAGACACTTTAATACGGAAGTGTTGTTACATACTAATAAGTGATGATTATCTGATATGTATGGTCAAAGTGTCAGCACGGCCTACAAGTGTCGGCAAGTGTCGACATGTTGATGCTCAATCCTCAACCCACTCAGCGCAACACTACATCCAACAACTCTCAACTTATCCTCCCCCTAACCCACCCATTGATAACCAAAGAAAACCAAAAAAAAAATCACCTCAGATTAGCAGCACATAGAAATAAATTGAACATCTCTCCTGAAGGTGATTTCCTATCAAACCATGGAAAAGTTCTGCAAGCCTCTCTCATAGGATCATTAACCCAGCAGAGATGACCTGAGGGGCATCCACAAATGGATAAACGATACTTGGACATTCCCATGCCTTTCCTGCAAATGCCTGTCAAGAAATGATTATCTCGTCATTTCCCTCTAAACAAGTAGCCCTACAAGTAGTCTCTGCTGCAAAATATGAGTTCAAAGGGAGAAAGCTATCAATTTGGCCATGGTCACTAGATATTGGCACCATTCGCAATCACAAGGGGGCATCCCTCCATATGCCTGGCACATACAAACAGTCCAGAAGATAGGCAATAGCTGCAGGGGTTTTTAAAAGATAACTCAAAGTCCTCAGGTTCTTTGCCAATACAGTCTGTTCTCATTGTCGAAACCTGGATTCAACATCCACCTCAGATGCCATCTTCCTCCACATCAATAACCACTCCCATCCAATTTCTCTATCAAGTGAGAGAAAATACAGCTTCCATGATAGCCAGAGATCTAAAATGCAGAGCCACGGCGATGTGGACCACGGAGACCTCAACTGTGGTAGTCCTAATCAAGCAAATCCCAAAGGATGGAAAATAGTGGTCCACAACCTAGATGGCAGGAGGAACCGCATATTGCCTAATTGTAGGGGGGTCAAATATGATAGTGGGAGAGCCACTGAGAGTGTGGAGGCCGTTTTCTAGCTGCCAGTCCCCCAAAGGCAAGGAGGCTTTATTTAATTGCTATCATTTGTTAAAGTGCTCAAAGAAATTATTTTTGTCCTAAGAAAGACTAAAAGACCAACAGTGACCTTTAAATCAATTAAATGATGTCATTAATAAGCATATAAGGGAGTTATATCCACTACCATCAAACTATAAAATAATCTAGTGAGTGCCAATAATTTCTTATCAACCATATTTAAAACTCCTATAGCAGCCGATCTTCAAAAAATATTTATGAGCTGACAATTTCAATAAAATAAAGAAAAACAGATTTATAGGCCCTAATGAAAGTCATATGATACACCAAAATACTAGATGAATAATCCTGACTTCTAAGAAGTTTATAGAAGATTCAAACTAATGGAAATTAAGGAAAATAATCCACACACCAGAGTACTGAATAAATAAGTCAAATATTCGAGAAATTGTTCTATATCATCACACACTAATGTACATACGGTTTACCAAGCTTGCCAAAATTTACAATATTAGGGCAGGTTTGTTCGTTTTAGTAACTCTAGAAATGCCACTTTTCTACTCAAGGCATAAAAAGAAAATGGTTAGGTCTGCTCCTGCTTGCGTAAGATTTGGTCGTTTTTCAGCTTAACTCATTTTAACTTTAAAATTCTAATAAGCCACTTTTTCTATTACATCATTTGCGCTTGCAAATTCAGAAACCTATTGAAAGATTATAACATTACTGTCCCCTTATATTGATGAGGGAAAACTAGACAGCAGCTAGGAGAAAGAACAAACAAGATAGGAGGAAAGTGCAAAACACATGCGAGAATGTTGCTCAACCATAAAATCCAAATTTGAATTTGAAATGAATACAATCGGGAGAACTTAGGTGTGACACCAATGGCGATAAGATGAGAGAGTAGACTTAGGTGGGCTGGCGATGTGCAATGCAGACCCAGTACAGCACCTATTAGGAGGTACGAGTTAGTTCAATTGGAAGGCTGAAAAAGGGCAAGGGATAAAAGGATATGGTTGGAAGTAGTGAGAAAAGATATGGGGACTTATGGCCTCACCGAGGGTATGGCCCTTGATAGAGCAAAATGGCAGACCACGATTTGCGTAGCCGAGCCCAATAGTTGAAAAAAGGCTTTTGATGATGATGATGAAGTAGACATTGGTAAGAGCATGCACTTCGCTGCAAATGCAATGTCAGGACGATTAAGGGTAAGACAATGAAGCGCAATTGCCATGTTTCAGAGTTTTCAGGATCATCAACTAATTTTCCTTCACCAGCTATCAATCGTGTGTTAAACATCGAAGGTATAGCTGATGATTTGCAATTCAACAAATTATACCGCTCCACTAAATCTAGTGCATATTTAGGTTAAGATATTTGAAATTTTGTCCTGAGTCCAACCCAAACAAAGTATCTCAGCTCCCAAATCTTTCATTTTAAACTAAGCATGGAGAAATCTCTTGATATTGTCAATAAGGTCGCAAGAATTTCCTGTGATTATTATCATCCACATATAAGAGAATGATCCTGATACCTACAATGCTCTTGTGAAAGAATATGAAATGGTCCATTGTCGTCCTCATATAACTATATGTCTTTATTGCATGATAAAAACTTTGAAACCAGGTACCAAATGCTTGCTTTAGACCATAAATAGATCTCTTTAGTTAGCATACATATGGGATCCTTTTCACTAAAACCAAGTGACTGCTCCATATACCTTTCTTCCTTTAACTCTATGAAGAAATGGAGCTCTTTACATGAAGCTATAAGAGAGGCCAATCATGTATCAGTACTAAGGATATTGTTAATTTTTATTTCAAAATTTGAAGTTTCAAAATCTTTTTTAATGTTAAAATTGGTGATGGTCCATCATGCTCTTTTGGTATGCCATGGACCACCACTTCTTCCTCCCATCATTTTTGTTTTTGTCGTATATGCCTTTAATGTTGCTTTGTCAGAATACCCTCACCTCCTTGTCCCCTATGGGCCAAGTGTCCATGAACTTGGCATTACACTCTCTCCATGTGTCTCTCTCTCTCACTCTTGTAATGCCACTTCTCTTCCCTCCTCATATTATATTATTACTATAGTATATAAGCCTTGGGAAAGAGAGAGAAAGGATATGAGTGATGGGAGTGAGGTTAAAGGAAAAATGGATTTGAGGTATTTTCTAAGAACAATGAACTCATAGAATTTCTTCTTGACGTTTCATTTTCTTTAAGTAAGACAAGTTTAGTTGCTATGATTTTTTAGAGTTTTTTAGCATGCAACTCAGTAACTTTGAGAGTCTTTGATCTGGCTGTATCCTAAGGTGTGTTCACCAGATATCCTATTGCATCTCGGTTTTGTACTGCGTAGGGGGTGATCAACAATTCGAAATTGTTAGCTTTGCTAATGGTGATAGCTGACGCACAGTTGATAGTGTAACTGATAGTCGATAGCTTAACGCATGCCCGATAGCTTGAACTTACAGTCGATAGCTTAGCGCACGCTCGATTGCTTGAACTTACAGTCGATAGCTTAACGCACGCCCGATAGCTTGAACTTACAGTCGATAGCTTAACGCACATCCTATGGCTTGAACGCACAATCGATAGCTTACTTACGTCCGATAAGTTTAACTTATGCTCGATAAATCAGACTGCCACCTGATAAGTGGAACTTACGCTCGATAAGCCTTTCACTGACTATCATCTAAGGAAAATTCGACAGCACCTCCCCAAGACCAGGATAAAGTGTGAATAGAACCAGAATGCTCCTAATTCCAATCGAAATCCTGTAGAAGTCAGAGCATGATTCAGAGATTATATTTAGAAATCGAAACACTCCAAGTACCAGTCAAATTCTAGTAAGAATCCGAGCAGGATTCGAAGGTTAGTTATAAGGGGGTCTCACCGTGGTTTACCAAACATCACAGAGGACATG